TCATGAAAAAACTTTCCCTGATGTTCAGGAAGAACTACAGTACTTTCATGAGATAAACCATGGCCAACCCACGGAATTAGGCCCTAGGGATGTGCAAAGAAGTGTCACTATGCCACCCTTCTCACTGCTTGCAAGGCCAGAACCTGCTTACCTACCCGGTCAGCTGGATTCCTCCTAACCCAGTTAAGCCCATGTTTCCTCAGCCACTCCAGCAGCCTTTCAGCCACCTTCACTCTCAGGGTCCCTCCAGTAAGGATCTAGACAAAATTGCATGCAACATAACCCATTTTGAACTAACTCCTGATGGTTCTAATGATGTCTATAGCTACTTAAGTAACTTTGACTATTACTTGCATAGGTTCCCAAATGCTATTGTAGATCACATTAACTGCCAACCTAACTGGGTCAGAGCTCACTATGATATGCTCTGCCAAGCCCTGGAAGAAGAATTCTCTAACCACAGATAGGTTTAGTTGCAGCTCTAATAGTTAAACAACAAAGGCAAGAATCACACTGACAGTATTGTAGTCACCTTCTGTAAGCTTATTTTGGTTCTAAAATAAACTAGGGATGGAGGAGGACTTAAACTTCAAATCGCTGTTGGTCAAAATCTCCACCTCAAGACAAGTCATTATCTAGGGATAGCAGCTTGTCCGCTGATATATTTTCAATCACTTAGGTTGAGCCTGAACTTGCACTGTGGACCTTGCCCAACCTATCCAAGGTGGTAAGGGAAATTTGTGGGTGCCTGTAGAACTGAGCTCATGCTGTCTCAGCACCAGAATCCTGCAGTCTCTTCTAAACCACCACCTCAGAGGGGATTGAATAATTTTCCCCTAAGTCCATCTTGGTTGTCCAGCTGGACTCAGAGACCCACTAAGGAAGATCCGTCAGTCATTCATGGTGAACCAACATCAACAATTTCTGAGTCATTTATATGAAAAAGGGCATGCAAATTCCATGTGCCTACAACCCTGAAAAAAATAATTTGTGCATGAAGAACTTCTGATACAGCATCAGACATTACTAATGTCATCAACACTTTTCTACCAAGTGAGAGCCACAGTACGACAGTCTAATTGTAAACTACAAAGCTGCTCTTTATTTCTTGCCCTACTCTCACACAGGTATCACTATAAATGGGTCCCCCAAGTGATGGGTCCCCCAACCCACAAACCATAATCAAAACGAGCAAAGAACCAGAAATGGCTATCAGCAACCTGCCAACAGCTTCAGGTCCCCCAGGTTTACTTCCGGAGCAGCGAAATGCCTCCCTGGGTGTGCTGACCCCACCTGCCATGGCACACAAATACTGCACACAGGTCATGAATGGTATCAGACTCGAAGACACCCCCATTGTCTGTGTGGCCTTATCTCTATGTGCAAATAATTCCGCAAACAGCAGAAAGTTCATGCATGTACAGAAAAGCATTAAAATGTTGGTAACAGTACCGACTCCAAGTATGCATACCTCAGTGTCACTTGCTACTTACGCCATTGGAAAATGAACAACATCATGGCCTTGTTGAAGAAAAATGCTCAATGATCAAGCTGACAGCCTGGCTAAACAGGGTGCATGGTCGGGCACTCCTTGGATGTTTAACCCTGCTATATTTCCATATTCTCCTGCCCCCTCAGTACTTGTGTATTCTTTTTCTCTACAATCCTCTCAGCTAATAATGTCTCCGTGCATGACCTCAACTCCACACCAGGCTTAAAATACCTATTTTGAATGCCTTTTTAGCTTAACAAAGCATTTATAATAGAGATTATCTGATAAACTTACTGATACCTTAATCATGTGCACTTCTCACACTAAGTTGACTGGGCTAATAACTTTTTTTAACTTTTCATAAATATCTCAGAACGTCAAAGTTGCAAAACACTGGGCAGACAGTGCACAATGCAGTTCTAACAAAAAATACTCACAGTAAAGACATAAACAAAGCTATGCACATGGTAAATTTTCTTATTGTGGTAATCCAAGTTGACCATGCTCACATTCAACTGGCTATTACAGGCTATTAGCGATCTTGTCCACCTTGGACAATTTAGCCATAAGTAGGGTCCCTTCTCATCTGATACCCTGACATGAGATGCCATTCTGTCCACTGTAGATTTAGGATATAATGTAGCCCTTAACATAACCTACTTATATGTCAGACTAATGGTATAGGCCCACTTATTTCTCATAATCTAACCAAGCCATGGGCTGAATGTATGATTAGTTGTTTCACCTATCCTTGCTTCCTACAGTCATCATCACATCTGTGGTTCGAAGATCGCATGAAAACAATCATTGACCCAAGTGAGGCAGTATGTAGTGGCTGTAGCTATCTGATTTTTCTCCAAAGCCAGCCCTGGTTTAGTTACAAAGAGTCCAAAGAGTGATACCAACTCTGGAACCTAGAGGTAATGGACGTTTGTTTACTAAAGGATTAACTCTGGGTCCCTCTGTAATAATTCATGATAGACCTCTTCTTCTTTTTTTATCATAAACAGGAATTTCAGGCACTCTCTGCACAAGTTTGTGATCTGAAATTTAAATGAAATCTATTTGTCCAACATTACGATACTTTTGCCACTACCACATCAAACTTAACCTTTCTATCACATGCTGTGGTATGTTGTCATCATTCTGCTGCCTTGTTAGTTGTTTTATGTTTCTGACCACCCAAAACTAATGTCTTAAGTTATTAACGTGTAGTCAAAGTTTATATACATCCTTTATTAAGGCACATCTGGCTTCTTCTTTCTGTCCTTAAAGTGTTATGATTTCTGAAATGTTAGTTATGTATGTTAAATCCCCACCCAGGAGGCGTGGCTTGAACCTAGTCCCACAGAGACTCACAGTCTTAGTCAAAGAAACAGAAATAAGAGAGCCAGCTTAGGCTTCAAAAGTTTGAGCACATTTCACATCTGTTGTTTAAGCTTCTGTTTATTTATGTATTTGTTTTGTTTGTTTTTTTATTAGTAGTAAATTTACTCAACACGCTTGTTAGGATCTAGAAACACTGCTGTGTGGAAGACAGAAAGTTTTCACGCCTTAAGCCAGGCTATAAAAGCTTAGAGAAAGTGTAGCAGAGTTGATCCCGGAGCCCAGACAGAGTTTTGGAGGAGGTTGGCTGAGCAAAGTGGCCAGAGTGATGCCAGCATCCTTTCTAAACCTGCCAACACAGCCTGCTGTCTCCAGCCAAGGAAACATGTCTTGCCGACGGCGAAGCTCCAGATCTAGGTCTAACGGCCCAGTCTTGCGCTCACAGAAGCTCTACAAGAAGTCACCTTCTGAGACCAAGTGACCAGACGACATCCCTCGTGAGCAAAACAACACCAACCAGGCCCTGGTAGCCTCTGCTGGCCTTTCTCTGAAGCTAGAGTAAATTAATATCAGCATATTTAAGTTTAAACTAAGTTTAACGATCTGTCTCAGTTCTTACCAGAGGCCCATCTACCATTAAGCCCTAAATAACTTTGTGTATTCTGGGCTTCATTTCCTGTATTAGATCCTATATATGCCAACCTGCTGATTACACTGATCACTACATGCTCTATTTATCTTGTTATTTTATACCAGTTAATACACAAGCTAGTTATTTGTAAACAATATGGTTTGTGGGCTATTTACCAACCCTGAATGATCCCTGACTTTGGGTAACCTTTTGCCCTTTCTTAGCTAGAAATAAGATCAAACCAAGCTGTATTTGTGGTACAGGAATTAAATTACTATTATTGCTCTTTAATATACTAGCTAGGCAGCTAGCATTATATTATGTTATTTAGTGACCTCGCATTTGCTCGACCTACTCATTCAAGCTCTGTCCCTTCTTCATCTCTTCATCCCTCATCTTTTTCTTTCCCTCTCTCTCTCACTCTTCATCCCACCTCCTACACCCCTCCCTTTTCCCTCTACCTCAGACATCCATCCTGTCTGAGCTCCATCTCAACCCAGCTCTATCTTAGATCTGCTCCTACAACCCAGCTCTGCAACTCTTTTCTAACTCGGATCCACTCCTTCTTGGTTCAGCTTCACTGTGTATCAGCTCTGCAACTCTTTTCTGACTCCACTCGGCTCCATATCAGATCAGCTCCAGTACAATCAGTTCTGCAATTAAATTCTGACTCCAGTGATTCTGATTGGCTCCAGCGCAACCCTGCTCAGGGTTTCATTTCTGACTAAACTTTGCTCCATCCCGGATCAGCTCCATCTCAGATTTAGCTCCAATGCACCTCAACTCTGCAACTCCTTTCTGATTCAGCTTGGCAGCTGTGCCAGATCAGCTCCATCTCGGATCAGATCCAACACAATCAGCTCATCGCTGTCTTGACTCGGCTCCACCTTTGATCAGCTCCATCCTCATGCTGTTGCCTTCACTCTCTTATCCCATTCAGCTCTCAGTCCCTGGGAGCCATGTCCTTTTGCCATTGCTGGCCTTTTGGGGGCTTAAATTGCAAGCAAGTGATTCTCATTCAGTGTCCTAACTGAACAACCGTGCTGTTGTCAACAGGATTTTCATGCCAAACTAGCTCCTGCAGTGACCAGAGCATTATTTACTGTCAGATATATCTGCATTATACACACTTGAAAAATATGGTTCTTCAAGGGTCTGTATAGAACCATGGTCACTCAAAGAAACATGTATATGATTCATACTGTTCTTGGCATTGTGGAATAGTTATTCAGATTGATGGAGAATGAGCCATTTTTGGTGCTATATGGAACCCTTTTCGAAAACACTATATAGAACCATATACAACACATTCTCCATCAATCCGAAGAATCATTTCATGATGCAGAGAACACTTTAAGCATATAAATGGTTCTTTGAGTGTCCATGGTTCCATATAGCACAATTGTCTTCACGAAAGAACCCTTGAAAGACCATCTTTTTTTTTTAGAGTGTAGCCTCCAGGGGATTCAGGTTATGTTATAAAATTGTTAACTACAGGTTAAATTACTTAAAACTTCTTCGGTGAAACAAAATGAGTCTAGCATAGTTCAGTTAGTTTTTCAACATACTGTCTTTTATTCAGTTAAGTATTAAGAATACCAATATGTCAGTGAGATTACAACGTGCCAGATTGTTATTTAATGAAAAAGGCCTCATTGTTTCTGAAGTGATCAGGTGAGTAAGAAGTCCCAAGCTTGAGCGAATGGAGAATATATGAAGTTAAGTCCGACCACCATCATTTTGACCAGAGCCCTGAAACAAACACATCAAAGTCATTAATGGTCCGTTTATTTCATGCTACGTCTTGAATCCCAACGCTTATCACTTCCTAAGTCTTATCATTAAGTCATATTCAACTACATGGAAACTGGAGTTATTGTTATAGGAGCAAAGGAATTGAAACAGGCCTACTGACAGGTCTGGGGCATTTAAGGGCTTAAGCATTGAAAAAGTATACTAAACCCTATTCATTCTGCTTAGGCACTACAAACGGTCTGATAAACTCAACTCAGGTAAACCATGTAATTAGTTGGTGCTTGCTATTTAAAAGGATAGGGACTTGTGAGTTGGAAAGGAATTTACAGGCCCAACTATTTGTGACAAAGTTAAGACCATATATTGCTATGGACATAACCAGCACATCTCTGGGTTTCTGAGCTTAGGACACTTGAAAAGCTGGACTAGCTGAAGTTATAGATGTTTTTAAAACAGTTACTAGCTCCTATAAGTGGCATGACTTAATTGGAACTAATTTGCAACTCATTCAGAAAAGTAGTTGCCTAGTTGACTAGTCATTATCATATTAAAACAAACAAACAAACAAAAAACGTAAGTGCTCCAGACATCTGTGAAAAGTTAGTAGCTTGCTAGTAGCTGCAGTTGTGAGATGTGGTCTTATACTGGTTTTATCAGCCTAACAGGAAACAAAGAGTTGTTCATCAAGTTAAAAGCTAGCAGCAAGCATCTCTACACACCAATAAGACCTAGTCACTAAACCAGAAAACATTTACACTGTCCCACTTTACAAAGTTTGATTTTGTTAGAGACATGTCACAGTTAACGGTCTGGGTGGTCTTTTTGCATGTCAGTCAAATGGCCCTTTACTTGAGATGGTGGATCTCGAAACCCACCCAGTCTGGTTTATGAGATTTTAGCAGTCTTCACATTGGTTTAATCTTATGGAGCATTTTTATACTAATAAAAGTACTTTGTGTTTAGCAAAAAACGTATTACTGTCCTCTTGTTGTGACTTTTCACTGCAGTTTTTAATGCATCTCAATGCATTTCAGGCACTTTCCTTGACTAGTTAACTGTTGCCCACAGCCCTGGCTAGTGGATTTCTTAGTTTCTTAGTTCTCACATAAGAAGAAAAAAAAGCATATCTTACTTAAATGTATCCTCAACTCTCTGTGGATCCATCATTTTTGTAAACTCCAGATATTTATCATAAAACCCCATTGCATTTTCCTGAAAGATTCTGCAAAACACAAAAAATAATTACATAAATATTCGCATACTTTTTTTACACAAACAATTTTTTGTTTTTCTAATCTTAACATCTAGAATCTCCAAAAACAGCCCACATGATTTTTAGATGAAAAATTACAGAACACAAGTAAATAATAAGTGAAAGGATTTAAACAACTATTTTAGGTGCAATGAAATGGAATGTAACAATTGTAACAATGTAATTTTTAATACAAAGATTTTTTTCAGTGGCAAATTTTTTTTAGAACAGTTTATTTCATCAGATTGGTGATCACTGACCTCTGAGCTTCATCCAGTTGATCCTGAGTAAGTTCTCCACTGGTCAGTAGTTTTTTAATGCATTTCTCTTTTATATTACTCCACTTTCTAGATAAACAAAATTCCAACAAGTTAATCTTTGCTTTGTAAGACGTGTTACAAATAAATTTGTGCAAATACGTCATCAATGTTGAAACAAAACCTTGTATCTCCCAAATAAGTTTTGAGGAGAAAGTTAATGAAAGTTAATGTAAAGAGACGTATTGACATTTTTGCAGCATTTCTACTGGTCCATTCATCCTAGAATTTTCATACAATGTAAAGGGCAGCTTCAAAAGTTTGTTCCATCAGCAATGATACATGACAGTTTCAATAAAAGTAATACATTTCAAATCAGTGTGGCTTTTACTGAGAGATGCAGAACAAGCTAAATTTAAATGTTGTGAACTGAAAATCTGACACAGTTTGTGCAAAACAGACACCAGCAAACATTCCTATCTCTTCTAACTTAACTTTAAATCCCAGGCTTATTACATTCTACAGCTCACTATTCAGTAACTACAGGGACTTCATTGCAAACTGGCTGAGATATTCTCAGATTATAGAAGTGTGTATAAAACTTTGGGCCTGCCGGTGAGCCCTGGTCATTTAAGGGGTTAAGAAGCACAGCTACATTTCTGAACCAGTATTAGCATCACAGAAAAAACTTACAAGACAATGCATTGCCATTATCCTTTATCTCTGCCATCATTAATATTGACAGTGAGAACAAAAATCAACAAATTTAACACAGGTCCTTAGTAGATTGTGCCAAAATTAATCCAGTTTCACTGCACAGGTGTAAAATGTTTGAAATACAATGCTAGTAGTCTATAGGAAGCTGAAGCATTTAAGGAATTTTAAATGCTGAACAGAACTGTAAGTGATTCTATAATAAATTAAAAAGCTTTACAGCACTGAAGAGATTACAATAAAATGAATATCCAGAATGCTGCATATTCAAAAAGCAGTGAGCAAATCTCAATCAAACTGCTATTCAAGAAGTTTATTATTACCAAGAAGTTTATTATCACAAATCCTTGATGTTTCCAAAACACTTAAAATTGTCAATAAACCATCAGTTTACATTTTAGGATCTAGTTTATAACATTTAAATCTACACTGTATAAGCTATTTAATTATGTCTAATGTCAATTATTAATTAAAGTTAAAATTATTAATGTTAGTGTATGTGATTGTATGTACATCACAAAGATGAGCAACAGTCCACCTTTCACAAATGTAACTCCTACTTTAGGTGCAAGATCATACAGTCACATTAGAACATTTAACAGTGAGTTCAAAAGACCAAATAAGAAGCTAAACAGAAAAACACAACTAAGACTAGGAATGGACACAATAAATATAACCATGCTGACAGATCCTGTGCATTTAGGTTTTAATAAGGAGTTTTGACAATATTAACAGTACTCTGATGAAACTATCAAAAATGGTTGCTGAAATTGTTCAGTTGTGCTCCTTAGCCCAAATAGGCTCTAGTTTTCTAGTGTGCCAATGATTTCTTTGTAAATCTGTAAGTGTCCCATCATGCAGTTATAAAACTTCATATTGTAGTGTTTAGTTTTAGTAAATCTCTTACGTTGACATCTGTTGTACTGTGTCATCATCAATATCTGCATTGACTTTGTCGACGAGCTCCTCAAATTTGGCAATTAACATTCTTGCAACAGCCCTGAGGAGAAGAAAAAGTGGAGTGAATAAACAATATTTATTTTTATAATAACTACAAAACTTTTAGCATGTAGAGCTTACCGCACTTGTGGAAGTAGGATATGTGATTTGCGTCTCTCTTCATTTACAAGTGTGTTGAGTTCTTCTCTGAAAGACTTCCATTTCTCAAAGTACATCTCTCTGTGAAGTCAACAGGAAACAGAAACATAACATCAGTATATACACTCATCAACTTCATTAAGTTCACCTCCTTGTTTCTACACTCACAGTGTAGAAACAAGTGTCCACAGTGTCCATTTTATTAGCTCCACTAACCATATAGGTGCACTTTGTAGTTCTATAATTATAGACTGTAGTCCATCTGTTTCTCTGCATACTTTGTTAGCCCCATTTTAAACTGTTCGTCAATGGTCAGGAATGGTAACCGAGAATAGTCCACCAACCAAAAATATCCAGCCAACAGCATCCTGTGGGCAGCATCCTGCGACCACTGATGAAGGACCAGGGGTGACCAACTCAAACTGTGCAGCAACAGATGAGCTACTGTCTTTGACTTTACATAAACAAGGTGGACCAACAATGTAAATCTGTCTAATAGAGTGGACAGTGAGTGGACACGGTGTTTAAAAACTCCAGAAACAAGTGTCTGATCCACTTGTACCTGTGCAACACACTAACACCCCACAACCATGTCAGTGTCAGTGCAGTGCTGAGAATAATAATAATAAGATCAATTTATAATGGCACCTAGGACGCTCTACTAATGGGGAGGGGGACCTAACACTGTGAAGAAGAAGAGTAGTGAGCAGTGAAGAGGAAGGTTTTAAGTTGAACCTCCTGGGACAGAAACAAAGACTCAGGTAAGACCAAGGGTGGTTTGCATATACGTAAGTAACACTTGGTGCATCAACACCAACATCATAGGCAGCCATTGCTCTCCTGATCTGGAGTATCTGATGATCAAATGCAGACCGTTTTACGTACTTCGTGAGTTTACTGCTGTTATTATTGCCACCATTAACATCCCACCGGACACTAATGCTAACACAGCATATAGCTTCCTGCAAACCACTATTAACTCGGAACAATTTCAACCATACAGACTTAAAAGTAGTCCGAAGTTCACCAACAAAATAAATGTGCAACTAGGGGGGGAAATACTCTGGACAAGGCCTATGCAAACATCAAAAATGGCCATAGGACAACAACAGTACCTCACATGGGACAGTCAGACCACTTATCAACATGACATTAAAAAAGAAAGCTTCATCCACTATCAAAACTGTCAAAATATGGCCAGAAGGAGCCTCTGCACAACTCAGGGACTGCTTTGAAAGGACAAACTGGGGCGTTTTTGAGGGTGAGGTGAGGAACCAAGCAAGAGCTAAGCCTGAAATGCTTATGGTTGAAAGCCTGGAAATAATAACAAATTTTTCACAGAAAAAGATCTGTAATCGTAGAACTACAGCGTGCACCTGTAGGGTATACTGACCTGATAAAATGGACAATGAGCGTAGACACAAGGTGCTTCTGCTTAATGAAGTGGCTGATCAGTGTAAAGTATACATGATAAAATATCAATAGAGTGCAACTATATAGTAAAAGTTACAAGAGAAAAAATATACTTTACATAACAGACAACTTTATATTAGTCGTAACAGTAGCCTTGAACACAGTCCTCTATGATTCTGTATTAGTACAATGAGTGCTTACCTAAAATGCTGAATTTCTTCATTGCCTGCCAGGGCAGTTCCTATGTCCACAGCTCTGAAGTACAGCCTTTTCATCTCAGAAAACAGCCCTCTTTCAGACAGCTGTTCATAAATGGTGTATGCATGAATAGCAGCACACATGCCCACAGTCCTATGACAGGATAAGAGGTAAAACGTTAATGGTTGTGTACTTCAGTCTTTAATAAATAATATACTTTAAAGGATGTATTTCTCTCTGCTATTGCTTTTACAGGCAAAACAGGCAAAAACACATTAAATGTGTTTTAAATATGTCATATTGACAGACAAATAAAAACACAAATTAATGCACAAATTATATCTACTTATTGTAATGTTAGTGCTTTTCAGAGCACATAAACAATTACTGCAATTATTCTGCACAATACTTCATCACACAGTAATGTATAAGTTTTAGCTCTGACATTTCTAATGATATGAAAAAGTATCTACTTTGTTTAGTTTGCTGTTGCACTGAAACTAATAATTATAATACGAATAAATCCTACTGTACAGTTCAGCATGTGTGTATTCACACTGTACTGTGTTTGGATAGGTGAGTATAACACATGCCATTTCTCCATCAATTATATAACTAAAGGACCCAAACTGTGTATAAAAATGATATCAGTAAAAACCTGAAAGGAGGAGAGATTAAAATTTCCATCTCAAAGCTGATTTGTTGGACCAGGTTACTGTCGCCATCACCATTTCATAAAGTCCAATAACGTGTTAATCTGATGATGCCTACACTATTGTGACATATTAGCGTGTTGCTAGCTAGACAGTAAAATATTAGTACGAGTAAGATCAGTGACTGTAAGAAGAGCTATTATTAGTGCCATCATGTTTCTGACTCCTGACAACCGTATGGATAGTGTTTCTCCAGAATATGTCCTCTCTTTGGGTCTTCAGGTTTCTCAGTGGCTGGTTCATGATTCCTTTGATTGTATCCATCCATCTTTTGCCGGTCATCCTCTTCCTCTTTTTCCTTCAACTCTTCCAAGTATCATGTTTTTTTCCAATGAATCGGAATTCTCATAATATGTCCAACATAAGATTTAGTTTGGTTATCTAGGCTTCGAGTGAGAGGTGAGGCTAGATTTGTTCAGGGATGTTTTCATTTGTTTTCTTTGCCCTTCAAGTTTCTCTCAGCATTCTTCATCAACACCAAAGTTTACAGCCAAAGGCATTATTATTTTTCCTGTCTTGCTTGTTTATTAAGAACCAACTCCTTTTGTTGTAGGAGAGCAAGAACAGAAAGGCATGGAGGAGTCCAAGAGCTTTGGACTTTTATCAGGTTGCTGCATAATTTTTAAAAACAAAATTCAGTGCTTTTTATTACCTTTTAATTATTTACATTTTATCACATTTAGTACAGCAAAAATAATTCCATTTCCACTGCACAGCAATGGCCACTCAAATATGGCATGTATTAATTCAAACCTATCGGCTATGGGGCCGGTAAAGCAGATCGCCTCCGTGACAGTTTCATGTTCAGCCGGTCACTTAAAGGTTAAAACTTAAAGGTGAAAATCACTGCAGGAGTGGATTTAGTACATGAATCTGGGAGCATGTCGCTCACATTTTACTTGCCCATGTTTAGAAGAAAGATGGTAATTTTAAATACAATAGAAACACCGCAGCTGCAGTTATTATAAATTTTAGGCTTCCTGTTTAAAACACTTCAACACTACAGACACTTAAACACCTTTGTTACCTGAAAACACACATCACTGCCTCAGGTTGTGAAATAACATCTGCTTACCGCTCCTCTACCACAGTGAAGTATACAGCGCAAAAACTGAATTAAGCTTGTTTTAGCAGAAACCTGATCCACTAATATATCCCAAGATTGGACATCCCTAAACTGACTACCTTTAAAAGTAAAAATAAGACATTTTCAGACATTTTATGACCTGAAATATTTATTTTAAAACTAATTATTATTACTATTATTGTTGTTATTGTTAAAACTATTTTTAAAAAAACAGACATTTCAGATTTTTTTCAGGGGAGCTTATGTGTCTGTATACTTAAGAATCAAATTTAACATACACACACACAAAAAATCATAACTCATATTAGCAAATATCAGCATATTAGCATTTTCCTTTTCACAAGGCACTGAGGCCCATTGAAGAGACTCATGGTTGTAATAAGTACTTAAAACTTACACAACTTAAAAATCCTTTATATATAAGTGCTTCCTATGTGTATATATATTATATAAACATAATACCAGATTTTTACCTTACAGTCCTTCCAAATCTCTGTGGACCAGTAACATATAACGTAATCAGTGGACTAAGGCCGATCCAATAAAACTCAATGGCAAAGTCAAAGTGAAGTCTAGAATACAAATAAACAAACATGATATTACATTTACAGAATCATGTAGCAGATGTCAGCAAAACCATAAACTTTCAGGCATTCATAACTGATAAATCATCTGTTCAGTTTGCGGTCGGGCAGTAAAACAGAAATTGAGAAAATACACATATATTTCAAAAGTGTCTAAATTAATAGCACATCTTAATAAAATGCAATGTTACAATCAGCTCATGGTGATCAGATGAAAATCTGTTAGCTATTAGTTGGCAATGTCTATGATAATGCATAAAATATGCATAGATATATTGGGTGACACTTTATTCTGAATGGTCCTTTTAGATGAAACAGACACTCAACAGACTCTCGGTAACATGTCAAACACATATGAGGGTTAGGATTAGGTTTTGGGTTGAGGTTTAGCAGTATGTTTCACTACTGCTACTTCACTGATATGTTGTTCTTGTGTTACTGATAATCTGTTAAGAGCATAGTAACACGATCTGGTTGAGCCAAAGCCCCTCTTGATCACAAGAACTCCCCACAACTCCAAAACTTAACTGCTTTGGCTCCACAAAGTGAGCTAGAAGCCATAAACAGGGATTAGAATGTCAGTTTTATAGCTCTAAGGAACAACCGTCCTGGTAACAGGCCCTGACAATGGGGGTTATCAACCTTTTGCCCCTATATTTACACAAAGGGACAGTAAAAAGCTCTTGCTGGAGACCACAGAACAACTTGACTGAAAACTCTCTAAGCAACGGAAAACCAATTTTGGGTAATGACCCTGTTTGAATGTATTCATAACCAGCAATACCCAGAGATTATATGCAATGTTCCTTGTGTCTTTTAACGTGTGTTGATTTTCAAGTAACATGGGTTAGAACGGTCTCTTTTGAAACATACATGAATGTCCTAGCAGTTCTTTCCTTGGTTTTGAAAGTTTAAAGGAATTACCTAAACATATTTTATTTTAGAATTATTTTCTTTTTCCCTTAAGATCTAACTAAAACAAAGGAGGGAGTGATTCTTGGGGAGGCACTCACAGATTATGCACCACCAATCAAAGTTGGTAACAATGAATAGCTTTTTAACCGTTAGGTGAGAAGAACCTAGGAGCACTCTGGATTCTACCTCCACAGGGGAGGGCATACAGCCAGACAACACCTGCATTCTTCAGCAGTTCTGCGTTCGAAGGAGAAGCTAGCAAATTCTTAAGTTTGCGCTGACCTTGGTCAGAAAGTATAGAACAGAAAATATTAGAACGCTTAAATATCAGATCTGAAACCTTTGTTCGTCTTGTGTACACTGTTAGTTTAAACCACCCTTAGAGAAGGAAAGTGAGGAGATCTTTTACCTAGCCAAGTGAAGGATTTCTTCAAGTTTTGTCTTGGCCAAAAAGAAGTAGTTAGTAAAGGTAGTGCCACCAGCCCCGAAACCCTGACTGCAACCCGAGCCAGCTAAGCAAGGAGTCAGAGCAGTTCTGTCGATATGAAGACCGTGGGACTGCACCCAGAGCCAAGCCTCAATCTGCGAGCAGACTGACCTTGTGGGCTGCCCAAGCTCCATCCTCGAGATGCCTCCTACCTCGTCGCTGACTAAGGCTGCATTTGCCCGTACTGCCACTACAGCGGATTCGCCAGAGAGGCAAGACTCAGCGCATGAGCCCGTAGCTTGGTCCCGAGACAACCCCTCCTGGAGGGTTTGAAGCCAGCTCCCTTGTCTCCATTGTGAGGCTGTGTTCCCTTTCATTTAGGCAGTCAAGGTTCTAATGCCAATGATTAATAAGAAAATCTTTCATAGATACCTACCCATATAGCCTTACACGTCCATACTTAGGTTAAGTGTCTAGAGGCTCTTTTACACCTACGTTTTGAGCTGCCTTCCCAGGAAGTGCCCTAAATCACACTGTCTTGTACTATATTAGCAGTAAATCATGTTACTTGAGCTGTTTGTTTCTTTTTACTTTTATTTTGTTTTTTTGTTATCATTGAAAGTAATTTGAATGTAGTTGGATATTTAGCCAATAAATTCCCTTTTTATTGAAGCATCCTTAGTGTGAGCATTTTGTCTCTCTTGCCCTGGTCTGTAGACTTTAAATAAATACTTCTTGTCTGAGGTTTAAGCAATACTAACAACACTAAATCGATGATCCGTCCACAAGAGTTTATTAATCATCTACAAAGGACCACTCCTATATATATATATATATATATATATATATATATATGTATATATATATATATATATATATATAAATATATGTGTGTATATGTGTGTGTATTAATGAATTCATTAATAAGTTTTGTGGAGTATAAAGGGTATACTACATGGTTATTGTTATTGTTTCGCCTGATGATTTAATTAATTTCAAAATAATCCTGGCTTGCTACTGATATAATCAATAGAAATAGCTCATATCATATACCAATAAATAGCTTTCACCAGTCATCAGATTTGATTTCTATAAAACATCCACCACTACAGGGAGTCTTCGACTGTCCCCATTAGTCAGGAGTGGGCTAACAGTGGGGTAAACTTCAAAGCGATGAAAATGAGCTCAAAATAAAAATCAACCAGAAAGCGTACAGATACACTACTGTTCAAAAGTTTTGAATCACTGTTCAGAATTATTAATCGTATTAAACCTGTTTGGTTGTAGATACATGTATATATGTTCCTATCAGGCTAATCCTGTGTAACTTAACAGATTTCAAACAACCATTAAAACAAGAAAAAAAATGTAACCAAAGCTAAATTCAAAATGATGAACTAAGCTGTAGATGATTCTGCAATGACTGAGAAATCTGCATAACATCCTTAATGAAATTAATATCCAAAATGTCTTATATTTCAGATGTGATGATCAAGTTCTGAGGAAGAAAAATAATGTATTAAAAGTTTATTGTTCTCTAAATTCATCTAAAACATCTTAAATGCCTAAATGTTTCTAAATCAGCTAATATATCTAAAATCTAACATTTACAATACAGTTAACTTAACAAGTGACTCCAAACTTTTGAACACTAGTGTATTCTTTGCTCTACCTATAAATTACATTATTTCTTGTGATGATAAATTTTGTATGAAACTTTTTGTTTTTTGTTTTTCAGTTTGAAATTACAAATGCATTAACACCTGATTAAACTCATCAGGTAAACAGTAATAGCTCGTATGCTGAGTCAGTTATGTAAGTGCAGGGTAAACACAAAGTTCAGCCTTTGGACTCTCTATCGATCAGGACTGGGAATCAGTGGATTCATTCATCTGTAGCTGGAGGGGAAAACTCGGGAGAAAAGTCTGGAAGCCCATCAAAATACTGAGGAATTACATACCTTAAAACATCATTCACTGTTTCTGATTCCGTTATAGGTTTTAGTGCTTCTTTTAGTTCTTCCTCAAAATTTTGCTCCTTCAGTTTTCTGTGAAAGTAAAATACAGCGTATTCAAGTACAACAAACATGTTCTGCACTGTTCTGGAATATTATGCATTAAAGCAGAGGTGGGGAACACAATTGGGAGATTTCCTTGCTCTAGCACATCGCCTAAATCTGGCAATTAACTGATAAGTTGAATCAGGTGTGCATAAGCAGGAAAATCACAATACTGTGCAGGAGTCCCCTCCATTAAAGGAAAGGTTCAGTAAAGAATGAAATTAGCACATTTTCCCACTTACCCTTGATGTAGTCAATCAGCTAAAACAAAGGCATTGCTGTTGAGATTTTCCTTCTTTCATTTTAAACTGGAAAGAGGCTAAAATTGCTGACAAACACTAGAGGTCACTCAAATCCTTTCTGTAAATACACCCCCAAAACGTCTTTCACCCTGCTCAAACTGTGACCAGGTCTTCATTAAGGTTGCACAAAAGGTTGTGTAAGGCAGCAGGCATTACTGCCTAAACTGGCAAACTGCATTTAACTACACAGTGAAAAACTGTTGTTTCTTTATAGTTCACAGTAAGTCATATAGTGGGCTAAGCATATTGACATGCGTGCACCACCGTAATGAAGACGTGGACACAGTTTGGGCGACTGGGAGAAGTTTGGGTGATGTAATTTACAGAAAAGATTTGGTTGACTATTGACTTCTAGTGTTTGTTAGCAGAATTTGCCTCAAAGCTCTAGTTTAAAACTAAAGAAGCAAAAATCGGACACTAAACACGTCTCAGCTGATCGACTATATCTGGTGAAAAACTGTGTAAATTTGATTTTCTGCCATACCAGTCATTACATGTTTTTATTAACTGCTTACTGTCCTTTTAAGATGCTGCTGTCAAACAAACAGCAAAATGTGCACACTGCAGATTTTCAAATGCCTAAAGAAGTCATGGACACGGCTATAAATAACTGCCCTGCAGAAACAGAAATACTACAAAATACAACAGTATACTGTTATACCTACTGTTCTAGAAAAATGTAGTAAAATATAGCAAGTTAAAATATATTACTTAAAAAAGGGTTCTTGACTCATAACAATAGTGGAACCCTTTTTAGTGCTATATATAGAACCATTTTTAAAAGGGTTTTTTAAAGAACCACATACAGCTGGTTTTCTATAAGAGAAGAACCACTTCAACAGGCAAAGAAGAGTCAGTTATGCATTCGAATGGTTCTTTGAGTGTTCCTGGTTCTTGAAAATAACAATTACCTTTACTACAGAACCCTAGAAGAACCATTTTGTATAAAACATGTCTAAAGTAAAGACTACCTTGTCATAAGTATTCATAACTATCCTAACTAAACTCCCCAGAGGCTCTTAATCATCAAATACACTATAAAATCTGTTGTTACTTATGGAAAAAGGGTACTAACCATTTAAGCTAATCTATAACCTGACAAGTTTTTGTTGTCCTGCAAACTTTTTGGTAAGTATTTTTGATGATGTGTGATGATTTTTTTTTTGTTGTTGTTTTATTTTGGGCCAATACTACTAGAATATTGAGGTTTGCTTCAGGTCAGTAAATCAATGCAATATATAAGATCACAATTTGTTTTTTTCATTGCTCACACTTGTAATGCAATTGTGATTTGAATGCACAACTCACCTCTCAATGTCTTTATACTTTTCCTGCAATTCGGGAGTATCTGTAGCATTCAGAAAACTCTCCCAGTAAAAAACAAACACTCTGGAAATAACACTGTGGAATGCAGTGGAGGAAATGGCAATGTTACATTGACTTGTTAATGTTGTTCTTCAGTACACACACATCACAGTGCTGCTCAACGCACAGAGAGAGTGCTAACTGCTCAGTTTTAATTTACATGAACAGACAATGGCTAATCTGTCTTTAAAGCACATCTACAAGCAGAGAGGAATCAGAGCTGGGGCTGTTACACCTCTGAATTCTAATCTGAATGTGTTCTTACAGGCCTGGATCCTGCTTACACAGGCACTTTGTAGAAAGGCAAAACTTTATATTCACCAAACTGTAATTTTATTATAGCAAACTGTTCTAATTAGATCCAAGATGCTTGAAAATATGAATTAACCAAGGGTGGGATGTAATATACTAAGTATTTCTGTCCAGGACATGGGTGTTCAAAAGTCAGACTCCATTGCATAGAGTATGTTATTTTCTACCCATCCAAGCCAAAAACAAATTTTATAAATGTTTTTGTCATCAGTTTTTTGCAAATTTAGTAGTTATAGTGCTGTTTTACCAAGAAGGCTGAATTGGGCTTTGTGGAAATGTCAAAGCCAACATCTAATGTTACTTCAATTCATTGAATAACCACAGGTAAAACATTAATTGACCATGATCATTTTTCATGCCTGCTTTCGTCATTTTTGTACATCTCAGCTGTTTGATTTTAACTCAGTTATGTTATTTTCATTAGGCAGACATGCCTGTGGTGAGCAGAGGTATGCTTTGTACTAAATGGTACTGCGGTTTGGTTGGGTTTATGTGAATCCAGCTTTCTGGTTGATTGCTATTGTTTTGTATCACCATAGGGCAGAAGTGTTGGAATAGGTAGGGTGATGACTGAACTGCTGTCAAGAATAGTCAATTGCCTGACACTCTGGGACCTTAGCGCGTTTGGAAATTGTATTTACAAAATTGGCCCACCCACTTATTCATGCTAGTTCATTAAACAAGCTACACATAAACAGGTTTCCAGGATGAACAGATGTCATTTTTTGTTCATACAAAAACTGTGTTTACAAAATAAGTTGTATTTTAATTAACTAGCTAATAAACCAGTTGTGTGTAACCAGTAGTTAGTGTAACCAGTAGTTAGCTAGTTAATGCTGAGACAGGTTGAGCTGCTGAATGATCAATATTCATTTGGAGTAGCTGTTAATATTTCTGATGAACAGAAACTGATACAGCTTAGAATATTCCAGTAACTAATGCTCATTCTGACAGATCACTTACAGTGTAAACTGCACATCCTCAGGGAGAAGTTCGGTCTGTCAGAACACCAGCATGGAAGGAAAGCTACCTTTACTACTAGGCCTCATTGGTTTCCTGTATTTGCCAGCTTCTTATTCAGATTTTCTATTCCACCTAAAATAGTACAGCAGTAACATTCTGGCACCTGTTAGAAGCTTCAGCTTTGTCCATTTACTGACCTTCCCGCTGCTTCAGAATCACCACCAGCATGTTTTCATTACTGGTGGTCAGAGGTAAGAAAATGCTTTTGGACTTCTTTTTTTTACATTTTAGTTATAATTATTGTTTATAACACTGTGAACTTTCAGAAATGCTGCCTACTCATGCTAATTGTTCTTGTGGACTTAGAACATAAAATGTAGTCATGCAGTCTTGTGTCCTATTTATGTTGTTTGCAGCTTGAAAATGATGTAGTAACATTTCAATATATTGGAATATTTGACAAACAAACGGGTGAAATTCTAATTTGATTTCTAAACCCAACTGAAAGCCCAAGTGTCTACTCTGATTTGCACCTGTTTACTATCTGCCTACCATCAGTCACTTCTACTGTTGGCTAGATGTTATTGGCTAAAGACTATTAATTAACAGTATATGATAGTGTGTTTCTGTAATTTTTTCCACATATAGAGATGCTCTGATTTTGTTTATTTTTTCTTTTCTCATTATTTTTGGCAGGAAGTCAGGGTGAAATAATTTTATAATTTTAATAATGTTAGTTTGTTTCTTTATTTCTTGATTTTTTTAGCTGGTAGTACACACTGGAAACACTTTCCTGACTGTACTTAACTGAAGATGGCTAATTTAAATTGGTGTAAACAAAGAAAGTCTTTGGGCTTCAGTCACCAACATTTTTTTCACACAAGTTTTTTCTGGAATCTGTTCTTGAGGTTCTAAGAAAATCCTGTCAGATCCACAAAGTGTTCTGAAATCTTAAAATTATTTACACCTTTGTGCCCTTGAGTGTGCATAGATTCTGTTCTTACCTAAGAACCTATGGCAAATCAGAAAATACTAGTGAATGTCAGAATCTCTCTGAAAACTGCATAAGCATAAGCTTAAGGATGGTTGGTGAATGAGACCCAAAATTGATTTCTTCTATTCATTCGCAGAGAAAGGATACATGTTACAATGACAGATACTTCTGATAAAGGTGCTTACCTTGCTAGCACAAGAAATTCATCTTTTTCTTTCTCGCGCTCAATTCTCTCAATTTCATTATACTTGTCATTGACTGCCTGCAAGATGGTTCTCATCCTTGAAGACACAGAGAAAGCAATGCTTACAAAGAAAATAGATGTCATAAAATAAAACTGTCAGATATTAAAAATGCATTTACATTTTCTAACATCAGAACAGATCTGAGCCTGGCAGTTAAAGCCTATTACTTAAACCTTTCTATTTTATTGCCTTGTTTTATTTAAGTTTGTTATTAAATTATATTAATATTATTCTATATTATTCATGCTAGATTCTTACCTTTCAGAAATTTCATCAAAATCTATTTTTTTAATTTGTGAAATGACTTCCACACCAAACTTCAGAACATTCACAATATATGTTTCCACGGTGCTGTTAAATGCAAAGAAAAGGAGAGAATGACAGCTTTGAATTCATTTCTGTTTATGACAGTAAATGAGGAACACAAAAAAACTAAATAGATAAAATAGATTTATTTGTAACTTGCTAAACATGAAACACCAGGCTTTTGTGGCCAAATTTTATGACTGTTGTGGACTAAAATGCCTGATTATGCAGTGGCATTTCTCACAATTTACTGCTATTTTTTGTGTGTGTGTGTGGCTGTAATGTGAAATTTGTGAAGATTATGAATCTGATATTTATTTAATTTAATTTAAATATAGTCTAATTAGCTTCTGTCGAAACAAATAGAAAGTTAAGTGCACTTCTTAGCCCTGTATTTGGCTGAAATGCTTGTTGGTAAATAGTAATGCTTGTTATTAAATCTGTTCATAGCTTTACACTGGCAAGACTTCTGCCTTCATGTGGCCAAGAACTGCCCAATTTGACAGGAAGGGAATGTTTCTCAATGCAAGGAAAGAGTGCTAACTGCTCAGTTTTAGTTTGTGAGGTGAAATAAATTTGGTAAACGGCGGCAAACAGGCAAGAAAAGCTACGAAGTGCTTCAAATACTAATGAATGACTTTGTAAGATGTTATGCTTTGAACTTCACAAACATTTTTTCATCCAGTATCTATATTGCTACGTACAGTTTACAATTACTGACTGTAGCTCATCTGTTGCTGTACAATTTACTACCTCCCATCTATCCTGAGCAACAATAGAAAGGAAACACTAAAGGACCACTGATGACTTGATATTTGGGGGTGGACTATTCACAGCACAGTAATACTAATGACAGAGGCATGACACTATATGCTGTGCTGGTGTATTTTGGGCACAGCAGTGTTGCTGAAGTTCTTTTAAACCTCAATGTCACTGCTGGGTTGAGAATAGTCTGTCAACCAAACCCCTAGACAAACATGGTCCTGTGGTCAGAAAATGACCACTGAAGAAGAGCTAAAACATGACTGACAAAAATTGTACATGAAAGCTCAAAGATTAGCTATAATCTCTAACTTTATATTTTATTGTGCTCGTCTCCTCGTGGCAGTTAAATATTACTTGTAAATATCCTCCAGTGCCTGGTTTGGTACTTCTTTATTAATTGAGGTGTGCTGGTGATGGAGTTTAATAGACACATGCAATGGCTGGAAGCATTGAGTCGTTCTTCAGAGGTATCTACTTCTGTTTATGTAGTTTATTAAAAGCAAATATTTTCATTGTATTTATGGTTTTTTTTGTATTTATTATAATGTTATATATGGATTTACATGCAAAACAATTTGCTTAGTTAATGATACTAAACAATTTGTTTAGCTACCTAAGACTTTTGTAATGTACTATATTGTATATCTAGGTATATCTGTAGGTATACATATTCCTCCCATTGGTGCATACCACAAATAACAGTACAGTACTAGCATGCTTATAGTGTTCAAGGAGAGTAAAAACAGTAAAGACAGAACATGCGTTCATACCTAGTGGACAGCAGGTAACAGAGAAACTCCAGTGGTTCACTTTCAATCGATGGAGCATCAGGAAGGTAGTTTGAAACCAAATTGCTATAAAATACAAAACAAATCAATGTGATGTTGCTGGAAAAACACCCACAACCTACTATAAAAACATTTGGCCTTTTACTGTGAACTATAATAAGAAAATCATGCGTACCCCCAGATCTCGTTGGCTTTGGCTCTTTCAATGGTCCCTTTGAACGTGTTTACAACTCTGCACAAGTTCAGTAGCAGAATGGTTAGCATGAGGTTAGTATCCATTTTGTGAAATACACTATATTTCTGTAAATCTAAATCCTTACTAGGGAATAAGGCACTGGGGAATCATTTTCTGACATTATAGTGTAATTCAGGACCAGGTTTAATGCATGCACATGAAACTACCTAATGTTGCACCTCAATATTTAATCTGATATGTGAAACCACCATACAAGTTAATTATTACGTAAGACTAAAACAGTGAGGTCTGCATTCATAATAGCAGATATATAATAAGAAGATTGAATTCAGAGCTTACGGTAGATACATCTGAACATTCTGCTCCATTATTACTGTATGGAATATTTTTTTGACATCATCCTTGTAGTGCAGGACCAGTCTTCGAACAGTGCTGTGAAATACAGAATGAAAAACTAATCACATAAACATTTCTGTTTGATCTGAACAGTTCAATTTTAAACTAATTTCCTTTTGCACAATCAATCATTCAGTTCTGTGAGCTTGTAGATCAGGGCCCAGTTTCCCAAAAGCATCTTAGTGTTAAGATGGTTGGTATAGTGTCGTGGGAACCAGCTTTGCCTTCTGTGCTGTAGACTGGGGTTCAATCTCCCATCTAGGCAAGCACTACACTATACCAATAAGAGTCCTTGAGCAAGACTCCTAACGTTACCTTCACATACCTTTGTAAAATGATCAAATTGTAAGTCGCTCTGGATAAAAGTGTCTGCCAAAAGCCATATTAAAATGATCATTTTAAGCTGACAGTATGTGACTGAAGTGCCCTTGAGCAAGGCACTTAACTGCCACCTGCTCTCTGGGCCCCATGGATAGGGCTGCCCATCACTCCAGTCAAGTGTGCTCACCGCCCCCTAGTGTGTGTGCATGTGGTGTTTCACTGCATGGATGGGTTAGATAATACGGTCCCAAAAATCACTGTAAGGATGTTTCCCAACCAGAAACTGTGGATCGATAAAATCATTCGTGACGCTCTGAAAATCATTCGTGACGCTCACCACTGCCTATAATACAGGGCTCAGCAGCGGCAACATGGATGTGTTTTGAGGCTGCAGCCGGCAGTGTAAGCTGCAGAATCATGGATGCTGCTAGAGGACAGTGCCCGATAATCATCATGGTGGGAGACGTGACGAAAGCTTTCAGGAGAGTGAATACCGGGAAGGCAGCGGGACCAGACGGAATCAGCAGTAGAGTCCTCAAAGCCTGTGCTTTTCAGCTTGCTATGGTATTTGTTGAAATATTATCATCTCCCTGACACTTGGAGTTGTTCCAACATGCTTTAAACAGTCATCGTCTGACAAAAAAAGATTCTGCTTTAGCTAAGGCCACATGGTGACTTCCCCTGTATTCTAGATTGGCATCATTAGAGCTTTTGCTATTCGGTTTCTTTTTAATTTTGTGACTTTAAGCCTGGCTATTCACTCTGGCCAAGTAGTCCCTCTTAAACTTCTGACTAAGGCTGGATTGCAACTCTTCATGATGCATCTGACCAATTCAACGTCTATCATATCAGGCTTTCATTTTAAGTACAATGCCTTATAGTCATGAGCAAAGTCTCTTATGCTTTGATCAGGGGCCTGGACACTAACACGCAGCTGTTTCTCCACTTCTGACAAGTAATCAGTGGGCAAAAAGGCAGACAAAAAGGAGTGCTTAAATTCAGTCCAAATATTTGTCTTCTTGGCCATCCACCAGCTCTTTGCAGATTGTTTTAGGACTGTTAAAAACATGGCTATGAATTTGGCATCGGATAAGAGCCTTAAAAATAAAAGGTTTTCACAATGCTTAATAAAGCTTAACACAGCACGTGTATCACAGGTTTCCCCAAAGGTTGACAAATCTAAGCAAACAGGAGGCTTAGCAACAAAAGTAGGGTGATATGGTCAACTTGGCCCTCCACTTCATGCTACAGCATCTCGAAAGTCCTAGAAGCTGTGCTAGAGTTCTGTTTGTGGACTTCAGCTCGGCATTCAACAGCACAGTGCCAGAGCTGCTGCAGGTCAAACTATCTCAGCTGTCTGTGCCAGATCCCATCTGCCGGTGGATTATGGACTTCCTGACAAACAGCAGGTGAGGCTAGGAAAACACGTCACACCCTCAGACTCTCAATACTTGGGCACTACAGGGCTGTGTGCTCTTCCCACTTCTCTTCAATCTCTATACCAATGACTGTGTCTCTATGGAACCAGCTATGAAGATCCTGAAGTTTGCATACAACACTACCATGATGGGCCTCACAGCCTACGGTGATGGGTCTGTCTACAAAAAGGAAGTTGAGCAGCTGGTCTCCTGGTGTAGCAGCAACCACCTGCTGCTGAACATGCAAAAGACTGTAGAGATGGTGGTGGACTTCAGGTGCAACCCACCCTCCCAACCGCCTAACATCAACGGCTCTGTTGTTTCTACTGTGGGGTCACTCAAGCTCCTGGGCACCACCATATCCAGGGAACATGGTCTCCATTGCCAAGAGAGCTCAGCAGAGAATGTTCTTCCTGAGACAGAAATTCAACCTGATGCAGAGCCTGATGATCCAGTTCTATACGCTGATCATCCCCAATCATTTATAACCATCTGGTTTGGTTCCTCCACCTTACAAGAACAAGCTAAACTCCAGCACATAATCAGGACAGCAGAGAGGATCATTGGATGTAGTCTGCCAATGCTTCAGGACATCCACAACAGCAGAGTGATGAAGCGTGCTGGCAAAATAACAGCTGACCCCTCTCATCCTGGACATCACTTCTTCTAGCCACTTTCCTCTGACAATTAAGGGCCATCAAAACCAGCACAACCAGACATGCTATCAGCTTTTTCCCCAGAGCTGTAGCACTCCTTAACCACATGAAACCTTACACTTTCAATTGAAACTAAACCAGAAAACCTGCCTTACTGTATTACAGTAACCCCACTGTGATGTAATGCTTATTTAAACAACTGTACAGATATTAAATTTTTACAAATGTTCAAATTATTTTGTAATGTTCTGTATATAATAGTTTTTATAGTATATTTCTACTCAGATCTGTTATGTGCATATTCACATCTCTTTAACACTTTGTTATTCATTATTCTATATTCTTATTCTATTTATTGTTTTGTATTGTTTTTTTTTTCTTTAGTTAAATACTCATTAACAGTCTGTGTGCATGTCTGGTCTGTTCAGTATGTTACATGTCATACATGTGTGCACTCACTAAGACAAATTCATTGCATGTGTAACTTACATGATGAAATAAAGTGATTCTGGTTCTTAGACTATTACGTTTATAAGATTATATGTACCAGCCTTAGCTGCCATTCTACTCCCTATAAAATCATCTCAAAGCTTGTTCCAGTTAAAAAAATACACATAATCAACATAAACAAGTAACATAACTTCCAAATAGGCATATCAGTGGTGTTATGAAACTATAACTTTAATTAACCTAATTATAAACAGGTTGGACTCACCGTGCTGCTACAATTAAATCATCCTGCACTCCTTTACCTCTTTCCTCTACACTGATTCTGTTGGCTGTCTCTCTGAAGGAATTCCAGTTGTCCTGGATTGCAATTCTGTAGAAGAAATAAATGAAAGGTGTCATTTTACAGGTGTTGATTTTACTCATAGTCCGCATAAAGCAGTCAGACATTGGTTCAGTCTTGCTGATTCTACCTGTTTGTTCTCAGCATGTCTTCCTTCACTAGTTTCTCAGTGGCCTCTTTGACTTTGCGCAAACAGTTCAGAAATATTTGGACGCCAAATTCCAACATTCGATCAATGTTCTCATACTCTTTCTCTGATATCTTAAAACTCTCTGGTCCTTGAGAAAGAGAAATTCAAATATAAACATTTCTCTCAGTTGCAACACAACCTACTATTCTAAAACTAAAGCATCCCTTTGTAACATTCGTGTATGTATCAAAACACTTAAACAAAAGATTATTTCTTTATGTTTATACCAGCTGGAACATAGAAGAAACACTCTTAGGTCAAAACTGCTAACAGCAAATTTAGATTCATTTAAATTAGCTTACCAGAAGTCAACAGTCCTGTTAGGGTCAGTATGACCAAAAGCTTGTCCATACTGAAATATCTTGCTGGAACAAAGATTCAAGAGCAGAAAAAAACATGTATAACAAACTGGTTTTTAACACAGTGCAGTTTCAGATTAATTAAGATTCAGCTGTCCTATCTCAATCACATACTAGTCAGCATAACCGAGGTCTGCTCTTATAGTCAGGTATGGACATGTAAACAGGTCACTGATAAGAATTTACAGAAGATTTTCTGAAACCGTCAGCAGTTTTCATGACTAGAGGACTTCAAACAGAGGACAAAAGTAAAGGCTGCAGAACTGCAGAAGAGCAAATACAGTTCTGTCAATAACACAACAAACCATGACAGTTTAATAGAACCGAATAATGATCATTTTTGATGACATTTGGGTTCAAAAGTACAGTTTAAATAAATTGCAGGCTGCTTTTAGGTTTTTGTTTGTTTTGCTGTTTTATGACAAGGTCTCACATCTTACACCAGAACAAATTAGGTGATATTATTTCTCTCTAGCTAAATTTCCAACCAAAGTATTTTATATAAAAAACCATTTTAATGCTTATAAAAGTTTGGCACGTAAAACTAGGCTATGGAACTTGTTGGTAATATTTTATATATTTTATATACAGCCAAGTAAGTTGTGACATACATGGCATTAGAAATTGAAACATGTCAACCACCATTTTTTTATTGATAAACCAAAACTTAGACAAGTTTTTGTAAAAAAATAATTAATGCCATTATGCACAACATTTATAGCACAAAAAGTCAGTCTGATAGAAAGAAGCTGCTGGCAGCAAGTATCCCAAACATTTTTTAAATGCATTCTCATTTTATTGTTTGCAATTTGTGCAAAACCTGATTGAAACATAGTGTTTGTTCCATTTAGTGACAAAATTTGTCTCAGAGTCTCACTGAGAGAGTCTATTTACTCAGATGAAGCCTTGATCTGTTCCAAAAAATCACTGCCCTGTACAAATATTTACCCCTGGTAAACATGAGCAAAACAGGCTGTAAAAAATTCTTTACAGCTTATACTTTTGACCTTTATTTCACCATATTAACAAAAATCTAACCTTCATATGAAGTACAATGATTGAAACCTAAAACTGATCATGAAGTATATTTTTTTTCTCAATATGTGTCACACAATTGTTGACATTCCTAGAAATTCTTATGAGTAAAATCTAATCGTAATATATTTCCTTTCAGATTTTATGTTTTAAAGTTCACCTGAGCAATTAAGAACACTCACATGGTCAGGCATGACTTCCTGTTTCACTGGGGTATAAATATCAGGTGAACAAAGGCCAAACTACAAACAAAGCACTGACTGATAACCATCATGAAATGCATTTTTATGACCCATCTTTTGAAAAACAAGACAAAAACAGTGAAGCTAGACTTTCCTCTTTGTTTTCTATACATTTTGGTTTGGATACTACTGCCCCCTGTGCAAGTGTGTTGGCTGTGTGAATTTTGCATTGGAGTGTTACAGTAAAATATATTTCAAGCTAAGAGCTGAGGTGGAAATTAACAAATTACATTTACTCCCGTTACTGTACTTAGGCACATTTTACCATGTAATGGTACTTATTGGAGTAGAATTAAGTTGTAGTACTTTTACTTGAGTTGAATTTGAATGAAATGCTTTTACTTCAATACTTTAATGTTTTGATAATGTTACAGAGTAAAAATATATTATGAGTGAATCATCTCATGAACCAATTAGAAGAAAGCATGGTTAAATTGAAATGATTTACCAATCCAAACAGAACAGCTATCAGCCACAAAAAACTCCAGAGGCAGCGAGTTTAGAGGAGAAAGAAAAACGAGAACTCACCAGCAGAAACGATGAACATACTTTATCCAAATGGTCATCTTCACTTGTTTTAACATTATTTAAAGAAAACAGCATCATTATCAGTTGTCAAACACGAAACCTCTGAGCCGAAATCTCTGCTTTTCACAACTCAACTTTAGCTTGAAGGAGCAACTGCCTGGCCAGCTAATCCTAGCTGAACAGGTACTGTGTTTACTGTGTGTCTGATAGCTTGCTACTTTATTCAACACAAGTTTCAATCTAAATGTATGGTTTACCCATAAATACAGTTTTGTCGCAGTTTTGAAATTAAATGGCAGCATAAGGCTGTGATTCGGGAAATCTAGTCTAATATACACCACATGATACACCACAAACTATGGACAATAATGTTGTCGTGCTCTGATTTGTTCACATTGTGTTTCTTTGTGTTTTTAGATTTACTGTCCGAAACAGTTATCTAATTAGACTGTAGGTGGAGTATGAAGTTGATTTGTTGCACGTATGCTGTACACAAACTAAATATCACACCTCACATCAATAAGGAGCCATCAGAGACATCAGAGCTTCACTCAAACAGGGAGTAAAAAATGTTGTGCTGTAATATTCAGATCATCCATCGAATTGTTTAACAAATCTGTGAAGTTGTCACATCTGGGCTGTCAAATAGGGCTATAGTCAAGACGACCTTTGTCAAGTCCAAGACAAGTCTAAGACCACGACTAGTTGAGATTGAGTCTAAAGGGGGCCAAGACCAAACAAAAGCAAGAACGAGTCAAGAGTATAAATGAAAGCGAGACTGGGTCAATTACAAAACCCCAAAAACCTCTTCAGTTAGTCTTTATCTCCTTGCTGTACAAATTACTAAAAAAACACACAAATGTGGTACGGATTGAAAGTTTCTTTGCATTTAATGCCTGGTCTGAATGAATGTAACCAATGCCCATGCTCAATTAATCCAACCAGTGCATGCTCTAAATAAATCCAACTAATGTCCACTCGGAATGAATCCACCCAATAGCCGCTCTTAATTAATCCAACCAGTGCCCATTCTGAATTCTCTGAATTAATGCAGTCCTCACTCTAAATGAATTCAACCAATGCCTGTATCATGAAATATCATGAAAATGTGATTACAAACAACAACCTGTTTGTTTTTGTCTTGATGGCAAGTCAGTTAATTTACTTGGCTGTTTTAAGTAATCCTTGTTTGTCAGTTCTGGTATCAAATTTTCTCAGGACATATTCTGATTCTATTCTGACAGAAATGAAAGTCAAATTGAAACCTTTAAATTAGCAAAACGAAATGCTCCAATCAATAATGCCATCTATCTGTCCTTGTATCTGCCCAGATCAATGGAGTTCATACAGAAAGCTTGTGAAATGGTTCACCTCTGTGCAACACTTTAATGCCAGTGTGAACACCATCCAGTCAGATTTTGGACACATGCTTTTCAGACTGTAACCCAGTCTTTCTACCCAACATCACTAACCACTAACTCTGAATAATATTAAACTACAAACACTGTTAGCTATATGTACAGATGTGTGCCTTCGAGTTCATTTAGCAACAGTTAGCAAAACTGTAGACTAGTAAACTACTAGTAGGCTTCTTGTGTTGTCTCATATAATTCTCATATTCATGAGCATGGCAGAGTAGGGTGTCATTAGGCGGCGGTAATGTTGGTTGACTGATTAATGTACTGTGACGTGTCATCATACTTTGGTACAATGACCCGCGCCTATAGCAGAGTTGAACCAGAGGGGTGCTGCATACATTTATTACTCATTTTGCCAGATTTTGCTTCCATTTCTTTCTATTTGCTTCTGGAATCACTCTGACTTTTGGGGGGCGGGTCTTAGAAGAGGGCGTTCACCTGCACTTTCTATTGGTCAACTGATTTGGAGTGACAGGTCTTCTGAAACATATAGTCACTCAGCGTGAACCGCCCCAGTATGGCTGAACACATTGTCTATGAGTGCAGCATTGAAAAACAAAATGCTACATTGTATTGGCATATCTGATATTATGAGCAATGTTTGTCATAGTCTTTTAAATTATTAATGTAGCACATTTATGGGTCCTGTGGCGACCTGTCTAAAAATAAATAATTGTTGTTTTGGGCATTGACAAATATTAATAGGTTGTTTATTAATGAACAAAGCAGTACCACCTTTCAATTTGCAACATAACAGTGTCCTCTAGGGCTAACTAGAAGAGCCAAACTATTGTCCCATAATTGGAAACTAAAAGACGTGAACTGATATGGGACATGCAGGCTTTGTTCCATATTTCTGAGAATCAATACAGTGCAAATCTATGGGAGAGCAAGATTACAGGTTAGACTATTAAGACAAGGCGATCTGTATGAGACAGAAGGAAACCCTGCTGCTCTCCCTCAATCTGTCTGTCATGTTCAGGACCCAAACAGAGAATGTGGGTGTGTCCCAATTGTGCACTTAATACTAATACTAACCAGTGTTTGAGTATGTAATATATAGTATAATTACAAAGTGTCAAAGTTGACTATACTCAAAAATCCACAGTGCACACTCAGAACTTGTCGATTTTTGAGTATGATAATGATGCACACTGTTGTCCCACAATCCAACAGGAAACGGAAAGGGAGGAGTTTCTCACATCTTGAAAATGCTGAAAAAATGGCAGACGGCGATGCGACAGCGACTGTGGTGATGGCAGGACCACAAATGATGTATAAATGTTCATCTCAAATCTGTAAAATATTGTGTAAAAAAACATATTTTCTACTTACTGATGTATTTATTTGTTAGTGTTACTGTAAGAAATTTGTTAATTTATAACGTTAATTTGTTAGCTAGCCTCGACAGCCATCTAGGCATATAATAGTTTTCAGAAGCTGGCTAACTAGTTAACGTTAGCTACTAACAGGTAACTCCTAATTTCTTTGTATTTGTAAACGAGCTAGAATGACAGGTCCACGGTTTGGACTGTGAATTACGTAGCCGGAAAACAGTAACTGTTAGTGCCAGATGAGAATGAGTTACCTGTAAGGTTGCTGCAAAAATTACTAATCATTTAAACGTCCCCAGGGACAGATGAAGACACCAAGCTTTTAATCAGCTGGCGCGCTAGCCACATAGCCCTCTTTACCAGCAAGAGGAACATGACATTCCAAGGACACGAGAAGGTTTTGTTTTGGCATTGTTTACTACAGTAGATTGTCATGCAGTCGCACACATCTCTTAATACTGTAGCTGAAGAAAAGCCAGTTTTACTTTGAGAATAGTTATGGACCTGTATTGAGACATATTCGTGTTGTGTTTTTTTTTAGGTGACAAAATGTAGATTACAGTTTATTACATTTTGAGTGTCCCATGCGCACCACCGTTTAGTCGTATGTCTGACAAAACGTACATTATTTTTTTGCTTTGTCAGTGAGTGTGTATACATGCACTCAATAATCCGATCGTAATCGGA